GATTTCGCGCGCTAACCAACGGTTCCTCGTATAAAGGAGCGCCTCGTCCGTGGGCGAGCTCGCGCGCCTTTGGATTTGCGCGACATTGAGATTCACGTGTCGTCGTAGCCGGGATCCTCGGCTCGTTCGGGACTCTGCGCGCGTGCCGACACTCGCCGGTGCGTCGTCGTCGTCGTCGTCGTCGTCGTCGTCGTCGTCGTCGTCGTCGTCGTCGTCGTCGGCGTCGTCGTCGTCGTCGTCGTCGTCGTACACGCGCACTCGGTAACACGCATCGCCGTCGATCGCTCGCTCGGATGCCGGACGTAGGCAAGCGGTTGGCAGCGCTCGAGAGACCAGCCGCCGAACGCCGCTCGTCGCCGGCTGCTGCTGCTTTCTCATTGTCTACCCTATATGTCTCCGGAAGCAGGGCCAATCCGCCGGAAAGACGGGACCGTTAACCCGCACGATCCCGAGACCTCGCGGCCGTGCATGCCAACGCTGCATTATTGGCTTTTTGTATGCTCATGCTAAGTGGCCGCCGCGCACGCTCGCGCATAATGCCCTTGGATCCTTTGCACCTCCGGCTTCCGATTTAAGCGGATAGTTCCGGGCCCCGCTGTGTGTTACCGGAATCTTGCCGGTCGGTCGCGCGCTTCCCGATCTGGGAGTGGCAGCGCGTCTTACGGCTCTCCTTCGCGGCTCCACCGTCGCCCCGCGGATAAGCGTAATCAGTTTCGCGGCGCTCGCAGTTATTTCTGTCAAACGTGCGTCAGGATCGATCATCGAGCTGCGCGTAGACCGGCATTGAAATCTTTGCGGATAAAGTTGCGTCATAAAGGGTCCGGGAGGATATATTATAATTTCATGTGCGAGGAGACTTGAACGGCGAGATTGCCTGAAGCGGTTTCTCCCCTGCACCGTTTTTTCCAGACACACACGGGAGGAAGTAGCGCGCGGCGAGAAATTGCGAGGAATGGTAAAATGATCGCGCATAATACGAGTCGATAACACGTGCACGCGGCGAAAGTGCAAGGAACGCGGTTGGAAAGAAGTAATCGGATTCAGGAAACAACAATTTTGCTGTCTCGTGGTCGCCGCAAAAGCGGGATCTCTCGGGCTAATATTATATTATGTTCAGCGGTGTATTTTTCTCGCCACGTTAACTTACGCAGTCGATAACAAGTGGTGAATAATCACGCGCTGTATTCCGCAAACGATAAAGTGTTCGGGCGACTTTAAACGGAGGCTTTAGTAATTGATTACGATTAGCGCGGGCGCGAAGCGAGCTTCCCGATCGTTTGTGCACATCGTTCGGCGGATCGAGGACAGCTTTCTTCCGCTTGTTAGTTGCGCGGAATCGTTCACCTCGCCTGCGAAACGAGAAACGCGAGAACGGGGCGTGTCGCTGACGCTCGCGAAACTCCGCGGAGTCGCGAGGCGCGCCAGCTAAACGAGCGCGATTCCGCGCGAAAAATCCGCGAACGAGCGATCGGTCGCGGCCATTAGTTACTCCGTCAAAAACATTTCGTCCGATAGGAGATAACAAGTAGAAAATTCCATTCCGGCAAGATTTCAATCCGCGAGCTCGGATAAAGCTCGGAGAGTCGCTCGTCTTTTCCGCAGCAGGTTGTTCCTCAAGCAGGATAAAGTAGTGTTTTTTTTCTTTTTTTTTTTAGCGAAGATTACGAAATTGCGTTAAAATGCCTGACTTCGTGGTTACTACTGTGACTAATCCTTTCCCTGTTCAGCTGCTTCCTCTTTTACGCTTCAAACACAAAGTGATCTTTTAAGGAGAACCAACTCTTTGGAAATAATCCTTTTCCTTAATAAACTTTCATCTCTCTCTTTTCGCTGTAAGTTCCGATGTAAGGAGACAGTGCGGATGAGACGATGTATCATATTCATTGACGGGGAAAGGAATAAGCGCTCGATCGACTCGCTCGCGTAAACGTGACGTTAAGGGGACTGGAAGGTCAGATCACTGAAAAATCGTGCTTGCTTTTTGATAATACTTTGTGACGAACTGAATAAATGTGCAGGAATGAAAATTTTTGATATATTTATATAACGTATGAAGAGTGGAAAAATTTTGTTTATTAACAAATATCCATATCAATATACGTCCACATAAATTTTAAACGCGTTTCTCTCGAAATTTTATCGTTCAACTTTTTGCAGTGATTTCTCCGAAACTGAGCTTCGTATCGATTTGAAATTTTAAAGCAATAATATTTGTTCATCTGACTCTCAGATGAACCATGGACAACTCCGTCCAAATTTTCATTTCGAGATATTAATTTTTTTATTGTAAAAGAACTGAGAAATTTGAATTTTTTCCTAATAATAGCCATTTTGTTAATTTTGTTCGATTTTTTTTGTAGTGTTTCACCGGGTAATGACAAGCCTCCTTAAGATTTCTAGCTGAAATTCGCTCTGATCGGACCACCGAGAGCTGAGATATTACTGCAGAAACGACAACTTGAGAAGAAAAGGAGATTATACTTCAGCTATATATATCTCGTATATTTATATGAGTATTTGTTAATGAACAAAAAGTTTCTACTCTTCACATGTTGTACAAGTATATACCTAAAATTTTCATTCTTGCACATTTATTCAGTTCATCGCAAAATATTGTCACAAACAAGCGCGATTTTTCAGCAATCTGACCCTCCAGGCCCCTTAAAGCGGGAAATACCGGGAAATTCATCGGTCTCTGTGGCGGGAATCGGTCGAATCATCTTCGCTCGAATTCTGCGTCTTCGTCCGGCGGCGGAAGAAGCAGATGCAGCCGCGCGATCTGACGCGAGTATTCGCGAGTGCCGCTCGTTAACAACGCGTGTGGAGGTTCTGGCAGAATTGGCGCGGACCCAAGCGGCCTGAGGCCTGTGCCGGCGCGGTGGGTCCCCGCAAAGGAGGAGCCCGGTCGCCCGAGCGACCAGAGCGAATGGATGCTAAGCAAGCTGTATTACCCGATCGTTTCCTTGCATACGAAGCAGTCCCCGGCGGAAGTGCGTCACGCGGCAGTATAGATTCCACGCGTCCACCGCGCCGCCGTCGTCGGTCTGCGAGGAATCAGCTCCGCTTCGCCTTTTAGAGGCGGACAGACGAGCGAGCGAGCGAGCGAACGAACGAGAACGTCGACCACGCCGAGTACGTGACCAATCCGTCCGCCACATATTATTTATTTTTCCCGCGGAGAAGTACGGTATAGCCGGTGAAAATTTTATCGACCTCTCCCACCTCCTTCCCTTCCCCTAAGCATTGACGTAAGAGCGCCACGAATTAAATCTTTATCAACTTGTTGACACGCGTCGCGGTTCGCCGCTAAGTATTAGTGCAGGAGATAAACGCGCGCCGGCAGCGTTCATCGCCGAGAGTGAGAGAGAGAGAGAGAGAGAGAGAGAGAGAGAGAGAGAGAGAGAGAGGGAGAGAGAGAGAGAGCGAGCGAGGAGGCGGGGAGGAAGGGCGAGAGAAGAGAGGAAGGAGAATACAGCGCTCGGCGGTGCGTTATTAAAATCTCTAACGGCGCTACGTGGGATCGACGCGCGGCTGTTCTCTACGATACGAGGAAGAACTGTAATATTGACATTGTTCATCGCGGGGAAACAACAAGTATATGTGCGCGCGGAATAATCGATATATATCCGATGTGATATAATTCCGCGCGGTGTCTCGTCGGCGAGCAGAGAGCCGCAGTTGCTTTATTTCAGCGCGAAATTAACTGGCCGATCGGGGTAAGGTCCTCGAGCGAGATTTTTTCAAGAATCTCGAAGAAGGAAATTGTTCTCGCGGCGGGCGTTTTTTTCCCCGGAAAGGAGAACTCGGTGCATCTGAGATCGCGATGGCCGATTGTCGACTGGGTGACCCGCGCGCCCGCCGATCTCTCGGAATATCGCATCGTTCGGCCGCACCGCGCAAGACGCACCGAATTTTGATCTTCGGGCCGAACTCGATAGGGACTTATCAACGAGACCTTTCGCCGGTCGCGTCGCATCGCGCGTCAAGACACGGCTGCGCGGGGAAAAACGCCGAGGCGACAGTCTCGGGTCAGCTGAGCGCTAATTTATTAGAATGTTTATGTGTTTCTCTCGCCGTCTTATCTGTCCCGTGCGCGAGCGTATCGTACCATGAGCGCAGAGGAGCAGTCACGTATAACCTGACTGCATTTCTCCCTCGCGATGCGAGGCAGGAGTCGCAGGAGGAGAAGGAAGAGGAGAAGGAGGCATTAAAGCGCGACGACGTTAAAAATATACAGCATTATGGCGTGATCGGGGGTTCGGGATGAGGGAGGTTGGACGGATGGTAATTAAGATTCTTTCGAGTTGAAACGATCTCGCGCTTCTTCTGCAAGGAACACCGTGCACGCTCTCTCTCTCTCCCTCCTCTCCGCCTCTCCTTCCTTCCCTCTCTCTCTCTCTCTCTCTCTCTCTCTCTCGCTCTCTCGCTCTCGTCTGTCGTGCAACATTGTTTTGTCGGACGCTGAAACGGTTATCGCGCTCTTCCCGCAGATTCACGGAAGATAAATAAAATTATACCGCAAACTCGCGCTCACGCGCGAGGATATCTTTCGCGAGAATCTCTCTCTGTTTCTTTCTCCCTCTCATTCTCTCTCTCTCTCTCTCTCTCTCTCTGTCTGTCTCTGTCTCTGTCTCTGTCTCTCTTGGAATTTTTATCTTCTTATGTAAGTTAATACGACGTGATGGAACTACTACTTGGCATCGAGCGCTTTCACCCTTCGTACAAATAAGCGCTCTCGATATCGTCGACGTTGGACGACGACACGGTTCTCTTTGAGAGAAGGAGAAAAGAAAAAATAAAAAGAAAGAAGAAAGGGAACAACGCCTTGTGTTTTTACATCGAGACGCGTCTCGTTATCTAATTAACTGCCCGTCGTTTCGATATTAGCGCTTGGGTTCTCGCGTTCACCGTCAATACAGCGAGCTGTCGCGTCGTGCAAAATTTCTCCGACACGCACGAACAAACGAACAACAGACAGAAAGAGTATTTGCAAGACTTACCCGTTGAAAGGGTAACTCGCGAAAGCAGCGTCGTAAGGGTGATACACCGAAGGGTAAGGCCACGCCGCCGCCGCTCCAGCTCCCAGATTTTCTTTGAGATCCAGACCAGCAGCCTGCAACAATACACGTAATTAATATGCACGCGGAAATTTCTCTCTTTGACATTTAGAGACAATATTCATCCCTTCTCTTTCCTTTCTTTTTGCTGTCTCTCTCTCTCTCTCTCTCTCTTTCTTAATTCCAACATTTCTCACCCTGCAAGTTGGCAGGAAACGGTCACTCACGCCACGAGATCGAAAGATCGTTCCGTTATTTTCCGCCGCTGGACCGCGTATCAACGATAAAGCAATCGCGAATACACGTTTCAAAACATTTCGGAATACCTGATTTATTCCACGGAGCCTTCAGATTATCGCTCACTCCGATCGACGCAGCGGTACTCGGGGACACGTCAGTGTGTGACTTTGTTGTACACCTCCGTGTCGATTTCGAGTACAGATTTTTGTCCGAATCGAATACGAATTATCAGTTTCTCGACGCAGGAAGATTACATTTGCAACAAATATTTTCTTCGCGCACGCGATATACTGGTGCGATACACGGAATAGCGGGATGATGGTGATTTAATATAGTGCATCGTGGTAGGACGACCAGGAGCAAGATAATAGGAGGAGGTACGATGCGCAGGAAGACGAGATGAAAGACGGTAATCGATCAATTAGCGGCGTCGATTATAGCGCGAATCACTCATGCAATTACAGCGATATATACAACGTTACAAATACTGCGGAAAACATTAAGCGCATCAGCGGCCCGGCCGTGGAACAAATTACTACCTTCTACGCAGCCTTTTTGTGCACGTTATTTCGTCGTCGCCGCGTGTAAGAACGCGAGGATCGTTATATCGCGACATTTTATCTCGATAAAGCTCGGCCCGATTTTATGCGGCTTCGCTTTTCTGGGGGTCGTACAAGAGGAGAGGGCACAGGAAAGAGAGAGAGAGAGAGAGGGGGGAGAGGGGGGCTATTAAATACCACGTACGTGTGTGGAACCATTAGCGCTTGCTACCAATAATTTTCGCTTGAAGTTGTTTTAAACGATGGCGATGCCGATTGCAGCCGGAGAGAAGAGATCTGCACGCGTCCGCGCGGATTTATTCCTCGTTCGCGAGCGCGAGCAAGCGAGCGAGCGAACGAGCAGAGAGAGAGAGAGAGAGAGAGAGAGAGAGAGAGGGGGGAGATGGACAGAGAGAGAGAGGGAGAGAGAGAGAGAGAGAGAGAGAGAGAGAGATCCCGGTCACTCATTATCACGGTTTTTAAATGAAAACACGCAGAATGCGGTTAATTGGTCGAAAGATCCATTTTTAGAGGACGAACGTCGCAATTAGCTCGTATCGCGCAACGGGTTCGGCCCGATCGGTCCGCTGCATCGACCGTGATGAAAGAATAGCTGGCAAAGCGCTGATAATAATAATTAGGATCGATGTGTGTGGCTCTCTTGTTTGCTTCTCTAACCCGCGACCTCCGTTATATGACAGAATGGTCGCTATTAAATTTCTACCGTATTTTATCTAGCGAGATAATGAACCTATAAAAGGTTCCCACTCTCTCTCTCTCTCTCTCTCTCTCTCTCCCCCCCCTCTCTCTCTCTCTCTCTCTCTCTCTCTCCCTCCCCCTCTCTCTCCCTCTCTCTCTGTCTGTCTGTCTGTCTGTCTGTCTGTCTCTCTGTCTCCCTCTTTCTCATGTAATTACAAGTATAAATCGGATATAATTACATATGCGATAACAATAATAATCTGATATTATGTACTTACATTAATTAATGCACGACGTGCAATTAGATATCTGAATTTACACCGAGACACAGCGGATGAAGCGAATGAACAAAAATGACTACGATTGACGTATGTGTATTTACTCGCTCGATGGCCCCAGTGCTATTCTCTCTTTCTCGGGGAAGAGAGAGAAAGGGAAAGATAGTCAGAGAGGGAGAAAGAGAGAGAGAGAGAGAGAGAGAGAGAGAGAGAGAGAAACTCGGGAGCAGCGACGGGCGAATCGAGCGATGTAAATTTACGCGAGGTGCAGCAATCCCGAGCGAGATTTTATGTTGAGATAATTATGTTGAACGGCGTAGATGATGAGAAACGGTTCGGCGGTTGTGGGTGTGGCGGTGACGGGGAAGAAGATGGAAATAATTGTTCTCACTAAAAAGCGATACTTGACGATTTTATGAACCGCGGGGAGAGATAGCACGGACGTCGTCGCACGACCCCGCAACGAACTCAGCGCGCAACCTGTACAATGTACTGTGTTTCGTTACGAGCAGGCTACACTATATACTCGCCCCTTAAGCTCGATCATAAAGAGCGACGATAACAGCTCGGTCTTAGCGGCGGCGGCGGCTCGGCAATACACGACAGTGTCCCACTGTTATGGCAGAACGGATTCATAAATTTACGCTTCGCCGCGCGCTCTATTCCCTCCCTCGCGTACGCTTCACGTGCGGTCCGATAAACGCCCGTTCGCTCGCTCGTTTGCTGGACGAACGGATACGCCGAAGCGCTAACGGCGCTTCCTCCGGATTCTAATATACGCTAATATCGCGGCGCGAGAGAGAGAGAAAGAGGTATCTCGATATTGCGAGTCACGCCCGATAAAAGGCGAAACGCGGCGAGATGCGGCGCGGCGCGCGAGCTTTCACGCGTTTTTCGTGCGCGCGCGAGTCGCGGCGCGAGATTTACGAAACTTCGTTAATCTGACGAATAAACACGTCACGGCATCTGGGTAAGTTGCGGGAATGTAGAAGCTGCCATCCTCCCCGCTGATATTCGGGACTTAATCCGTGTGATAAAAATTTTACGAGAGAATATAACGTCACACCGTTGTGTCGGCGGTTCGCGCGGGTCGAGCATTCATCGATATGGCCGGGCGTTTATCGATGAATTCACTCCCGAGTCTCGGAATTATGGCGGCGTCGTTGCAAACATTTCGGTAATGGCCGAGCTATTGATTAATGCGTTTCGGTGCGCGTACGTTCCACTTATTATCGTCGCGATATGTCATCTATGAGGAGAGAAACGAGTAATCCTTAAAAGATTTAATTTTACACGGGTGTGCATTGTGGCGAATTATATAAATATACTCGAGTAACAGGAAGAGAGTTCTCGATTATGCAATCGTAGTCGTTAGCCGACATGGTCGTATCATTATTTCCGTCCGCAAATAGACCATCTGGAGAGGGAGAGAGAGAGAGAGAGAGAGAGAGAGAGAGAGAGAGAGGCTAAGCGAGCAGGCGCGCGAACGGGACGAGTTATACGATAAAGCGCGGCGAATCGCGAAATATATTCGCTAACGGTCATCTTGTTGCTCGGGAAGTACGTTAATAAAGTCAATAACGTCGGTCCGGATCTAGCACGGAACTCAAAATTTTCGGACGGTGTTATCGCGGACGGTATCGTGAAAAATCCGCGGTATCCTTTGTTCCGCGTATTATTTTAGTCGTGCGCCGATATCATCTCTCTCGTACTCGTATCAGTACGACCGCCGCCGCCTCCGTGTTCTCCGTACCGCTGCAAAAATCCTGGAAATCGTGCGAGCGTGCAACATACACACACACACACACACACACACACACACACACACACGGCCCGTCGGATATTTCCAACGCGCCGTATTCCGCCGAAATACCGTTACCACCGATGCCCGGCGAGCAGCCGTCTCGCGAGAGCTTATCACCGCGTTGCAATTGAGACGCCGGCCGCGGTCGGAAGCAGAGAGAGGAAACAACGCTCGTCTGGTATTCGTTTCACGGGCAGGTAAAGATACAGACCAGGCTGGCTGGGTGGGGTTACACATGACTCGTAGTTACGTAGAGGCGCGGATTTTTCACGCGACACCCTCGCGGACTTTCGACCCCTTGTGACTTTTCTTTGTCGCACGGAGAAAAAGTTCCGCCATCCGCGAAGTGTGCGAACAATTCCCAATGTTGCAGTAACCAAGTCTCTCAGAGCCCACGAAAGATTGGTGTGCAATTAACGACTGCTTAATTAATGACCGATTTAATGAAATTACTTCGTAAGTTTGAATTTCGAGACGACGAAGTGTCTCGTCGCGACGACCAATATCTTCCAAAATGGCGCTTCCTCGCGTGAGCAGCTTTTTGACAATCGCGCGCTCCCCCACGCAATTCTCTCTCGCTACGAATCATTTCAGTCGTTCAACTGAGCTGTGAATTTTTGGAATCACGCTCAATCTGTTTTCTTCCCGTGCGGTAAAAGAATCATATAATAGGTATAGCACTTACTACTCACCGTGGGCGTGTAAAAGGGTGCTTGCTCGGCACCCAAGCTAGGGAAGTACGCCGCCATACCCTCAGATGCCGCGGCCGCTGCAGCGGCGGCGTAGGGCGCGCTGTACATGGAGAGGGCCGCCGTAGGTAGGCCTCCTAGACGTTGGTAGCTACCCAGCAGCTCGTACTGGCAGGAGCAGACGGTCTGGCCCGTCAACGGGTCCGTGAAGATCGGCCGACCGGTGTCGCAGCACCTGGCTGCTGCCGGACCGCCGGCCGATGGCGGCGGATGACCCTGAGACGGGCTGACCGAGGTAGTGGGACTACCCGGTGGCCGCACCACCGCGCTAGTCACCGCCATCCTCGCGTTCGACAGACCGGCTACGTCCAGGGGATGATTCGTCGTCGTTCCGGTTGCGCCGACCAGGGACGAACCCCCCGCGCTCAGTATCGTGCCGGCTGCCGGCGAAACCGAGGACGGCGCCAACGACGAGCTCACTGTCACAGGACACTGCAACAATATATAATCGTCGAATCGAAAGAGTTTCTGAGTGCTTTTTATTAATTAAAGTCACGTTCTAGCGAATAGAGTCACACACACACACACATACACACACAAAAAACACACAATCAGCTAATTATCTCAGTTCAACTTTCAACGACTAACTTGGACTTGGTTAGAGATCTAATAAGTCGGACTTTAGCGTCAACGACATCGACCCTGTCCCTGCTTCGAAGAAGATCCTTATCCGCCACGGCTACATCTTTGCACCTGCTGTTAATTATTCCCGATCCTTTACCGTGCGCGCGATTGATTATACGAGATCTCTTCCGTGAGATTTTTCTCAGAGACGCGTGCGAGACGAGACGAGCGATCCCGATGTAAAACGGACACGAAATACTACTATTGCGGATCGGGCGCGTCTCGTTAAGGGTTGGAAACCTCGTCTACGCTATATCGGGATCCCGTCGTCGACGAGGCGTTACCTCGGGTAAGCAGCTGACGGATCACGTAAACGAGGATCAGAGAGAGAGAGAGAGAGAGAGAGAGAGAAGCCCGTCACGCGTTCCGCGACACTCTAAAAAGGCGCCGCCACGGCTGCGGCGAAACTCCAACGGACCTCCGTTCCCTTCTTTATTTCCACGGCTGAGCCGAAAGTCTACCGGGCGCCCATAGTCATAATGCCTTTGCTGGGCCTCATTAATTCCATATCAAACACTACGGCTAAATAGATTAGCGGGTTGAGTGCCTTTCGCGCCTGGGACCTAAACAAACCCCCGTGGAACACCCCTGCCATGAGAGGAACGAAAGAGAAAGAGCGCGATCGCTGATCCCCGCGATTGTCCTGGCCATCCATCCATCCATCCATTGCCTCGTTTCGGTGGCCCCAAACATATTGTCGGAACCCCCCCAGGCGCATTGTGTTGGGGTGAAAAATCCATGCGCGGCACGCATTATGCCATCGGGATAGAGAGAGTCACGTTAATGCGTGTCCTCGTCGCGCCGACGACGCTGGTCATGTCGTCGTCGCTTCGTCGACGTTTCGAGGGCCAACTGTCGCACGACGACGGCGTGTGTGGCGGTGCCGATGGTAGAAATAACGGTGCCTCCGTTAACGTTCTCGATCGAGGATCCATTGTCGTGCGTCTCGATCGGAGCGATAGAGCTAACGCGAATGACATTTCCGGCACCGTTTTGCGCTTTCCCATCCGCGGACAGGCTCGGCTTCGACGTGTCGATGTGTAGATTAAACATCGAGAGATATCGCAGCCACCGTGAGGAGGATCGCGAAATTTTACGAAGGACTCTCGCCCCACTGAAGGAAATAGAGAAAAAGATACGCCCGACTTTCGAGTCGCGTTTAAACGCGACTCGCGCGCGCGCGCGCGCGCGAGAAGAAGAGAACCGGTCCCTCGTCGGCCGCATAACCATACATCGACCATTCTCTAGCAGAAATCGTAAGATTCCAGGCGTTCGAGGGAAAAGTCGGCAATGGCAAGAATGCGCTTCGGGACTGCGGATCGGGCAAAGGGTTAAACGACGAAGCGTGTTGGCGAGTGTCCGCGAACGCGGGTCATAATTCAGTCCTAGTCCCCGGGAGGAAGAAGGCAAAGGCGGCGGAGAAGAAGAGCTGAGTTACTCGATGCGATCGCATCGAAGCCGCGCGCCGTTCGCGAGAACGCGCGCGTTCTAACCCCCGCCGGCAACTACATCACCTCCGCGCGAGGTGTCGCGCAGTGGTGCCTGACGGCGTCTTCGTGATTCGTTCGTCACGCCTCTTGGAAATTTGTAGTCATGCACGCGTCCAAGAGGGTAGTCGCTGTCGATGCGAGAATTCTCATTTATTCTTCAGAATCCTACGTTTTTTTTCTCTCGCTTTTTTTTTTCTTTCTTCTTCTTTTTTTTTTTTACTCAATGTAACGATTTTCACGAGAGCGCAGTTTGCAATTTTTCGAACGTATATCTGCGCGTATAATAATTTCTCCCGCAATTTGTCGGAGTAGTTATCGTGGGCGCCGTTTTGCGGGAAGAAATTCGCACGACGATGGAATTTCGTGCGTTCACTGGCACCACTGGCCTTATCGACGATGCCAGTCGCCTTTAAAGTAGCGTTCGAGGCAGCATTACGCGACAGACTCTCGCGTTGTCGGTAGCGAGCGTCGCGAAAGCAATAATTATTCGTACACTGTATATATACGCGCCGATATATCGACGCATTAGCCCTTCGCTCCCTCGTTTGTCCCGCGAGTACGCTAATTGCCATCAGCGCGATTTCTCCCTCTCCCTTCCCCCCCCTCTCTCTCTCTTTCTCTCTCTCACTCTCTGTCTCGTCGGAACGCTCCTCCTCGGCGGAAGGGACACGCGAGGTGGAGAGAGTGTGGTGTGCATCGCGAATTAGTGATTGCGCCGCGACACAGCAGTTTGTACTCGTTTCGGCGACAGTCGTGTATCGATTTCTCGGTTTCTCTCGGTGGGCAGCGATTTTTCGCGCTGCGAACCGCTCCAACTCGTCGCAGGATCACGTGCTTAATTAATTCCTCCTTGCGATTGAGAGAGCAGACATCAAGATCGCGAGGAATGTCGGTTTCTCGCGATTAGCGAAAATGTCGCGGATTTCATCGTGTTGTTCGTATAATGGACGTCCCTCTTTCTCCTTTTCTCGTACATTTGATATACGAAGTTTCGCGTGCCGTCCGGCGCGACTCTTTATCACTTCTCGCACGCCAGGCATTTAAATGTGGAGTAGTATCATTCGGGTATCGTTTGGATATTTCAACGGGTGGACGGATATACCAACCGTTGACTGAAACGAGAGAAGGAGAGAGAGAGAGAGAGAGAGAGAGAGAGAGAGAGAGAGAGAGAGGGAGAGAGAGAGAGAGAGAAAATCAGGTCGATTTCTGCAGAATTTCGCATTGACGTTGCAGCAACGTCGACACGTGAACGGGTAATTGGCACGATAATTATTCTCGTAATAATTATTATAACGTACGCTCGAACCGACGTAAAGCTCCGCGCGAACATCCGTTGCCTCGATACAAATTATAAAAAACCGGTTGACGATAAAGCCGACGAGGCGACGTCGTCACGTCGTTGTCGTCGTCGACTAGCTACCTGCGACCCACGACGACGTCGCGTTCTTTGCCGAGCGAGACGGTAACGAGACAAGGTGAGGCTAAGTGAGAATTCTTTGGGAAACTTATCGCGGATGTCGCGGGACATTGCATTGCGGGACAACGAGCGGTACGCGTTTAGTGCCGCGTAACACTTTCGAGGAGTTTGCGACAGATTATCTCGGCTCGCACGCAGTAAACTAACTGATGACGATGACGACGACGTCGTCTGATTCGGGCACTCTGAACTAATCAAAGCCAGGCCGCATCCGAAGCATCAACAACGATCGGCGCGAAAAACCGATGTCACACCGCGCCGCCGGCAGTCGCGAATCGGCGTCGAATGATCGATGGATGATCATCTCCGGCCTGGGAAAAGGAAAAAGTGGATAATCTCGGATGAAGTGGTCGTAAACGCGTAGCGACGCTGCGCTCGGAGAGGGGGGGGGGAGAAAGATAGAAGGATACCGGTGTACCCTGCATCGACATCGACCTAGCACCTGGTACACGCATCTTACGACCCGATTTGTATGCACGGTGTAACGATCGCGTCGACCTAGGAACAAATAACGGCGCGATCGCGCCGATGTTTCTCGCGACGACGATAGAAACATCTCGTTTCGGGCGCGCGAACCTTCTCCTCGCGAAAGCGCTGCCGAGGGAGATGCGCTGTAATTGAAACTACGGAGCCATGCGTGCTTACCTTCCTTCTTTTCTCCAAGTACGGGACGCGATAATCATGGCGATTTTTGCGCAGTGCTAAAAATCGAAGGAAGATGCGTGCGTATCGACTCTACAACTTGGAAAATTATCATTATACAATCGGGAGCGCTGCGAGTCTCATCTTTTCTACCGATCTCTCCGTTGCGTACGAAAATTTATTACGAGATTTTTAATTTTAATTTTTTAATTTTAATACGAGGCCACTCGAACTATATGTATATATATATATATATATATATATATGAGGGTTAACGCCAACTTGATCAAACTTTGTGTACGGAAAACAGGAGTATTTATATTTGAAAAGTCGCGCTGCCTAGGAAATGACGAGTTGAAACCGCTGGCGTCATCCGGGGCGATCCCGTGATATTCTAACGCATCTCCGATCTCACGAGCGCTTATCGGGGGACGTAGGGAAATTTCTCCCCGTAAAATCCCAGGGAGACACGTCGTGGGAGAAGGCGTCTCTCTTTCTCACTCACTCTCACGTAGCGCAGCTCGATAAACGCCCGAGCACTCCGGCTCGACGACAGTCGAAGCAACTACGATAGCTCCGGGCGATACGGGGTGTCGGATAGAGAGAAGCTTGTAAAGAACGCGGAATGGAGAGGAGCTACGTCTCGAATCGGCAACGAACGACGGACCTCCGCAGTGCGACTGCACTTCCAGGATTTATAGGCCATTCGGAAGAGAATCGGTTATCCTGTGGACACAGATGCGCTGGTGTTTGCGCACGGAGCATTTGTCACGCGTGTCCTGCCAGCGAAAAGGGACCGTCGTCCGGGGCGTCCGATCCTCTCTTTATGCGTGCCGATGATGCCCTCTTTGCAACGAGGCCCAGCCGAGTCAATATTGACTCCTGGCCAGATTGATGGACCTTCCTCGCGTGTGTGTTTAGGCCTCGCAGCACTCACTTACGTTTCCCGCGACTCGCCGATTCATATTTCTCTTTTCCTCACTTTCTCCTAGCTGCTCTCTCTCTCTCTCTCTCTCTCTCTCTCTCTCTCTCTCTCTCTCTCTCGCTCTCTCTCGCTCTCTCGCTCTCTCTCTCTCTCTCTCGCTCTAGCTTCTCCTCTCTGTCGTGTTCTATCGTTCGCTCCTTTTCTTTTTCTCTATCTTACTCTGTTTACTAAATGTTACATTCAGGAGAACGTGCAAATCCCCACAAATTCTCCG